ATGGCAGATAAAGACAGTGCAGTGTGCATCAAGAACTGTATTGTTTGGATGACAGATCACATGCCTAGTATATTTAATCCTATTCACTCTTGGTTTGTCACTCTTACCCTTCATGGAAATAACAAACTTCAGGTAATATTCTTATAACAAAATTCAGTTTAAAAATGCATTTAAAAAATGCATTCCATTATTTGTGGATGTTTTTGAATGAATTTTTATTTGATCAAACAATATAATGATGATGTTGATAATGTCATCAACTTTACAATTCATCAATCAATCCATATTCAGTGAAAAGTCAAATGCTGAATTGCTTTGGGTGCTGAGTCAGGGGAGATTGACATATGTCACTAATCATCTTGACAGTAGGATGCCACCCATCACATTGAATGATTTAATAAGTGGAGTATATATACTCATTAGTAGTAGTTCTTAAAGTTTAACTATTCCATGGTATTCAAGAATAAAAGTTAATAACGTGTGTATATTTTTCCAGAGTTGCCGACCTGTGCACTCCATCATTTCCTGGCCYGATTGTCCCCCAAGCATACTTCTCAATAAAAGACTGTTTTGGCTTCTTTCAATGGTGCTACCTGAATATTTTATAACTTTCAAGTATGACAACCTTTGGTGTAATCAAACTGCAGCTGAAAAATGTACTGAAGACAAGGAAGTAGGTGACTTTTCACAYTTACTTGTAAGATGTGCTCAATTAAATAAATGGGAAATTATAGAAGATGTGGGCAAATCACCATTAAGGCAAATTGTTCTTGGGTTTTCGTAGGGGGAGGGGTGGGAAGGGATATACACAGACTAAGTAACATACTAAAGCACTTAAATAATGACCCCCTTCATGGTGCATGTTGTATATGACCCACTCACTTCCTTTAACAACATAAAAATTATTAGGGACCTCACCCAAATAAGGCCAGAAATGAAAGCTGGCAGCAATTAAAGGAAGGGGGGAACACGTCAAACAAATGTAACATTTATTAATATATTAATAATTGTCACTGTAGTGGAATATCTTGTACAATAGCAGTCATGATGGACAGAGCTTCAACAGGTAAAAATATGCATCTCTTGATGCTATTTCACATTAATGTATTTCTTACATTYGATGTACACTCAATGTAGCTTAGCTCTTTTGAGTTTCRAAMCAYGATGYRTCTTACTGTTGCATGTCACGCTGTAAAGCATCACTCTTTCATAMAGTTGCTTTCTGATGCTATTTTTCCATGACTGTATTTTTCATCAATAATTCTATATTATTGGTTGTTGTTACAGATTTAAGCATCACTGTTTCTCATACAATGGTCCTACTGTCTTGYTTATAATGGTTGAATCAGGAMCTCTTGTYGYTGCTGCTATTGACTCAAACTGGAAGTAAGAASTACTTGACATGCTTGACAAACGTTGTTGAGGTTATGTCTTAGATTAGATAGAATATTTTAGGCAAGGAATTATATTGGCYGGACATTTTGGCCTATAAATTCTGAGCCTAATAAATCTTTCCTGGCTGTAAAACCATAGTTAATAGAGGGGAATTTCCCCTCTACTAACTATGGTAGAACATAGAAAAAAAGCTGTGGTAGAGGAAACCAGACAGTAAGATGTGCAATGATTTAGTATTGCACACATGAAATGTTTTTGGTAAATGAAAGGGAAAGAATTTTATTGTTTTTCCATTGAATATTGTAAATTAAAAAAAAACTCATCTTTCTCCTCTGAAATCTTGCACCCACTAAAGCAAAATTGTTTAAAAATGATGTGATCCCATGTTACTGAAATTGAACACAAAGTTTAGCCAATATTTCTCTCAAAAGAGAGTCGGGATCATACTGGGGAAGCAGTCATTGTATGCTACTTCAACTTGAAGAGAAACTTCAAATCCTAAAAGGTAATTAAGTCTCGTGTTGAAAATAAATTGAAAATTGTGAATTAATGACATGATTATATCGCTAGTGTATTCTTAGGACCTTTGCTATTCCATAACAAGCTCTTATATATCGTTTTTGTTTTGCATAGAGGGAGAGAAAATGGTATTTGTGAATSAAAGAACAAGAGGTCTACCAACTGGTATTTTACTTGGAGACAATAACAAACCCATGATTRCCATCAACATTGACCTCACATCAGCTGTATTACATTATAAACACGATTCAACTGCTTATAACATCTCAAGTCTTGAGGTACATTCACATGACGTCATGGCGAGATAGGACAATTTGAAACATAAATGAATAAAAGAAAAGAAATTTCGTTTCGAAAGTGTGTGTRGTCGAAAAATGCTAATTTTTGGCAGAGTTTTTTTTCTTTTTCACATCCGAGATACCAGCAAATACTACAATTTTCTTTGCAATTTATGTTGCTAAGGTATGGGGCTGCGCAGGATTGGTTGCTAAGGAAAGACAGAAAGCGCAACAGCGCTGGGAAAGAAAACAGGCTGAAAAACTTCAGAAGGTATTTTGCTGTTGAATTATCGCACAAATTCTTCATATGCCGACACATGTACTTCATAGATACAGTTACTGTAGTCTTTGTTGTCCGCTTAAAAAAGGTATTAACGATGTTAAAAACGTTTCGCGAATCAAAATAAAATCCACTTTGCGCGCTGGAGGAAAACCAGGTCTGTTTTAATGGAGAAAGAACACGGTTTTTTTTAAATAAAATTCTATATGGGTGATAGAGATTGCTCCACAATCGGAAACTGAATATATATGGCAAAACACGTGACAAATCTAGTGTTCAGTTGTTTTCTAAGGAGGACAACCTATTTAAAATCGGCTGTATCTATGACTGGATTGAATGACCTTTAATTTATCGACTTTTGTTCTGTTTATCCAGGTTAAACTACCAGGAAAATGGGATGAGAATCCCGACCGCGCAATACTGGACATGGCYGGAGTAACAAAGGACTATGGTCACCGACAATAATAATGATCATGCAATCTTTGATCATGCGCGACGAGAATAGTGCAAAACGAAAAAGTGAAGAAMTATCTTGCCATTAGTGGAAGACAATTGCATTTTTTCAAGTAGATAATTGTAATATCGTTAAGAAATTTCTTATCAGGTTTTTAAGAACAAATTCACACAATTGGAAATATTTAATAGAACGTTTTTATTGTCAATAGTTATTAAAAATCTGAGATGATGTATAAATGTTTACCGAAGACAAAATAAGACGTATAATTCCACAAGATGTATATAGAAAAATTATAACTTTTATGTATTAATAGTATCTACACTAGACAAAGCATGTTGTATGGAATACAAATACTCACACAAATAAATATCATGAAATAATGAGGAAATTAAGATCAGTTTGTTCTAAGTACTGTCAGCTAACAAAGTGTTGTTTCAGGGAGGGGCTGTAATCACCACAGGTAGACCAGACTCTTCAGTAGTCTTGCTGAATAATGTAAAAATATCAGAGAGGCATTGGATGTCGAGGCATTGAAAATTAAATGCATGTTTGATAAAACCGTTTTGTCTAGTCGAAAATAAGAGAATTGCAATGTCTTTTGATTTAAAAAATTGTTTTTAAAGAAAAARCGCCGCCGTGTCCCATCAAAACGATAAAATATATCCGTTAACTCAAAAAGCGGTGAAACTAATTTTTCATTTTCAATAATAAACGCAAAGCGATCAATCTTTGCTTATGCAACTGGCTAATCAAGAGTTTCGTCTTTCRAAATGTCCATTTATTGAAATCGAGACGGATTTCAATCCCACTTCTYTATCAAAAAACTAATTTTGTTTTGAATGCTGACTATTGAAGTTATGGTCAAAGCAGAATAAACACACTGTTCTCCAACGCGAAGCTGTAAAAACATGAATTCGTTTTAGCAATTTACTTTGTTTAAAGTTTGTATTGAGTCAGTTTGAGGTGTTTGTGCAGATGCTTCTATTGTTTGATGTCATTTGTCGAGGGAATTACACTATATTAGGCTGTTTTTGATGGTATTATTCGGTTGGAGGTCATACGCCATACGAAGCCATACGAAGATTTTATTAGTACAATGCTCAGTCGGGAAATTGCGAATTTTTTTACTATACTGGCTGCGGAGGTAACGAAAACAACTTCACCTCAATGGAAGAGTGCAAAAAATGGTGCAGCCATTGACCCATGAGCTTAACCTGACATGTAAGTACGTAATTTGTCACCATTTTTGCATATCTGGCATCTTATTAAGACAGGCGACAACGCATTAAATCGTGACCATTGAAGAAGTCCTTAAAATGCTTAGTAAAACTATAACAAGACTTCAAGTTAGGCCAATTCAAAAATCTTCATGAATAGCAGTTCTTGTTCACTATTAAAATAATATGTAAATTCCTTTTTTTTAGGGAGAAGCGTCGTCGTAGAAACTGCAGATGACAAGAATATAAAGATTAATAATAAGATTAATAATAATACTAGTAATAATAATAATTTGTTATAATCAAACGAACAGGATAGTGAGGAATATGCGTATTTATMGGTGTTGGTTACAAATGAAATTGAACAAATGGTTGCTAGGTAATAATGTGTTTTCTAGGAACTTAATTATAAAGCATGCCTCCTCCTGACGCATTTCCTCCCTCCCTGACTACAGCAGCAGACGCCATCTTCATCCTGGGTATGTAATTGGCATGACCGTCTTTTGAATGCTGTCCAAAGGGATCGACAAATATTGGGGTTGGTTTGCGAAAAACTGACCCATACTTTGAAATAATTCGTTTGACGAGCATTAGACAGCGGTGATATCACTATCCCACATGGGACAGCCTTTCCTCCTTCGCATAAAGCCTAACAGCCTTCCCCATTATGAGCTCGCAGTACTTGGTCCATGTCAGCTCAGACGAAACATGAATTCTTAAATCTTTAGTCTTGACCACACTTTCCTTTCGCTATGACAACCATTGTCAGAAAATGATAGCAAACTCTAAACTTCTCTTTGTCGTGCCTCGAAGTGAGTGCCAAAAAAAGTCTAAATCATTGGAAGGAGTACTATGGCGAATTAAATAATTCATGTTGATAGTTCCCTTCACGTGGAGTTGTGTTTACTCAGATGCCTCCATTGTACAATGACTTTGGTCRGTGAAAAARRGSMA